ACCAGGATACTAATGAAACCATCTTTGGAGGAAGTACTTAATATGCATCTTATTTAAAGAAATCCTCCAGTAAGAAATGGAGAATTCACTGCCTTTACTGTGAAGACATTGTAGCTATCTGTCAAATTCCTATGTGCAGCTCACCAACATTCCCTTATTGGAAATACCAGGGTTTCTGAATCATAGTTTTCTTTTTTTGGTGGAACTGGGGATTGAACTCGGACCCTTCGTTTGCTGGGGAAGCATTTATCCTACTGAGCCATCTCCCTAGCCCCTGAATCATAGTTTTAAAAAGGACTTTAAAGTCTTAAAATTCCAGGGCTGGGGAGATAGCTCAGTGGAATAAGTGCTTCCCTGGCAAGTGCAAGGGCCTAAGTTCAATCCTTGGTTCTGAAAAAAAAAAAAAAGTTTTAAAATTCTGAATCTCCTTTGGCTTGCCTCTCTCTCGAGTCCACCCAGGCCATTATTAATGGTTTGCGTCATAGCATCATCTCCATCTTCATAAATCTTCTTTAGAACATTCATTCATCCCTCTCTAGGCTCTGCCTCGGCATCATAGGAGGGCTTTTCTTTCTCTTTGCACTCCTTTTCAACCTGAGTGAAGTATTCCCATTGAGTGTTCTCTGCTTTCTTTCTACACAAGAGAACTGTATCAGTATTGACTTTTTTTTTAACTGCCTTCCACTGAGATGGGTTTCAAGAGATTGTTCACAATCATAGATTAATTCTTCCCATTTAGATTCTTTACCAAAAGATCAAATGACCTCTCTGTAAAATGCACCTAGGCTGGGGAGATAGCTCAGCAGCTTAAGTGCCTGCCTGGCAAGCGCCAGGCCCTGAGTTCAAAGGAAATGTATCTGTACATCCTCAGCAGGAACTTGATGAACTCAAGTTAAGGTCATGCAGATTTTCACAAACTTATCTCACTGATCCCATCATAATTACAGATCTTCACTGTGTATCCTGTTGTGATGGGAGCAACCACAGCAGCTGGTTTTTCGTTGCCAAGAAGTTTTTGTTGCAGCTTATTCTTTATTTCTGTTTCAATCTTGGATTTTCCAGCTGTCAGGGCATCACGTACTCTTCCTAGTAGCCTTTGCCAGCCATGTGTTTACCTCTTTTTTTTTTCTTCTGTATTTAGGAAGGGTCTACAGTGTGTTCAGGGTCTCACTACTAGATTGGATTTGTAGTGATCCTCTTGTTTACAGCCTCCCAAGTGCTGGGATTACAGGCACGCACCACCACACCCAGTGTCAATCACTGTCTCAGCGCTCCGCTGGGCAGGCCTGGGGACTGAACACCACCCACCCCCTGCATCTACCTAAGCAGGCAGCTTTAATCTGCTGAGCTATTTGGCCAGCCCTCTAATGCCTTTACCTCTTCTAGATTACTCTGCAACTCCTCCAAAACGAGACCATGGCCTGCCCTCCATGAAAATTATTGATTTTCTCCTAATTTTTGTTTGGAGTAAACATCATTTGAACAAATCCTTTAGTTTTTTTCTTTTTCTTTTTTTTTTTTTTGGCGGAACCGGGGATTGAACTCAGATCCTTGCGTTTGCCAGTCAAGCGCTTATCCTACTGGGCCATCTCCCCGGCCCCTTTTTCTTTTTCTTTTTAACAAATTCTTTAAATTAAAAAACAAAAATCTCGTCTGGGTAGATAGCTCTGCGGACTAGGCGTCTGCCTAGCAAGCGTCAGGGACCCTGGTTTAATCCCCAGTATCGCCTGCTTTGTGGCCCCGAAACTTGATGGCCCATGCCTGTAATCTTAGCACTGGGGAGGCTGAGGCAGGAGGATCACTACCAGTCAGAGCTTCGTAGCGAGGCCCTGTAACAAATATATATATACATATTTAAATCCCTTAAACCAGATGTGATGTTAGATATTTGTAATCGCAGATCTTAACTGGATTAAGGCAGAAGGCCAGCCTGGGCTACATCAGCTCCTGTGTTAAAAACAGACAAGCCGGGGGCCTGCCCTTTAGCTCAGTTCTTTAAGCGGGCTGCGGGGCAAAAAAAAAAAAACAAAACAAAAAACCCCAAAACCAAAAAACAGACAAGCCCCCCAACGTCAAACAAAACTTTGATTTTTGGAATATGGCATTTGATTTCATTCTTGACAGTGTGCAGGTGGCTTACAACAAGCTTATGGAAGCACACTGAGAGTTACATAGGTAACAGGTAGTGCCAGGGAGCCCGGTGCTCTTGCTTAGCTGTGCCTTAAATGCTTGTGAGGTATTTGCAAAGTGCATGCCAGTAATGCTGTTTTTATAATTTTAAATTTCTTTTTAAGCAAGTGCAAAACGTTTTGTGTCTGTCTGTGAGACAGAGTCTCGCTATGTAGTTCAGCCTGGCCTCGAAATCACAGCAATTCGCCAGGGAGCTGGCTCAGTGGAATAAGTGCTTCCCTGGCAAGTGCAAGGGTCTGAGTTCAATCGCCTGTTCTGCAAAGAAAAAAGAAAACAACAACAACAACGAATCACAGCAATTTTCCTGCCTCATCCTCCCGGGAGCTGGGATTTTGCGCCTGCACCACCACACCGGGTTGAAACAAAACTTTTGAACAGAGGTGACTGCGTTGGTGGGGTCTGCAGCTGCCAGACCCACCGACAGCCTAGCAGAGGCCAAAGAGGTGGGGCCCAGTGGGCGGGCCAGGCTAGAGGGGCGGGGCCGGGACTTCAGAATTGAAGCTGGGGGCGGGTCTCGGAGGAAAGGGGCGGGGCGCGGGCCGGCCGCGCAGGCTCGGTGCGGTCAGCTCGTGCAGCCGTCCCCGCCCGCTCGAGGTGGCCAGCTGCGGGCGACCCGGCGCAGAGCAGGGCCGGGCTGGGCGAGCGCACGGCCATGGCTCCGTGGCTGCAGCTCTGCTCGGTCTTCTTCACTGTCAACGCCTGCCTCAACGGCTCGCAGCTGGCGGTGGCTGCGGGCGGCTCTGGGCGCGCGAGGGGCGCCGACACCTGCGGCTGGCGGGTAAGGCGAGGACCGCGGGTTCCTCGCGGTCTCCGGAGTCGCGGGGCGCACAGGTGCGAGGGCGGCGCTGTGCTGCGCTCCCCGGGCGCGCGTCCGCCGCCTGGCGGGTTTGGGGGCCCTCGACCCTTGGCTTTGTGTTGCTAATGAGGGCGCCAAGGGCCGGGGCCAGTTCCCGAGGGGGGGCGCGGCGCGGCGCCCCACGCTTTGTTCCCGGCCAGAGACCCCGGCTGCGCGTCCTGCCGGCACCCCGGGCTGTGCGGAAGGGGGCGCATCGCGGCGGGCCCTTCTCGGCGTCCTGCAGCCGCAGCCGTGCGAGGGTGCGGGACAGCGGGGCGGGGACCTGGAGCGCCGAGAAGGCGCACCCCCTCGCGGGGTCGCTTTGTTCCCGCGGGCTGGGACCGTCACCCCACTCCCACCGGCCGGCCGGGGGCTCCTGGTTGACAGAAACTTCGCCTCTGCGCTCCTCTTTACTCTTGCGCGTGGTTCCCCCGTCGTCCCCAGCCGCCCGCCCGGAGTTGAGGGTGGTGTTCGCGGCCGGAGCGAGGGGAGTTCGGCCAGGAGCCAAAGACCGGGCCGGAGAAAGGTCCACGCTTCTCCATGAACTTGGGCTCCTCGCCCCGGGACGGGGTCAGCTCTGACGTTGTCTGAGGGACGGGGCCGTGGGGTGGGGTGTGCGGAGAGGGCCTGGGCAGTCCTCGCCTTAGGCAGGCGCTCACGCCTCTGTTCGTGGAGAGATCCCTGTAGCCGGAGACTTGACTTCAGCCCCACTCCTGGGCGCCTAGCGCCTGTTTTCTCAACTGGAAAGTGGGAGATGGAGCACATCCAGCTTCCCCTAGGTCTGGGATGGTTATAGGCTAGTTTGCTTAGGCTAAGACGATCTGCTTCTTCTGGGAGGCTGTAAACTGCCTCGCCGGCCAAGACCTAAGACAGGACGCCCTCTTAGGGGCACGGGCTAGTAGTGCCTGCAGCGCATTTGCCCCCATTTCAGAGAAATGCAGCCCAGAAAACCATGTGTGGACCAAGCAGCAGGGATGCTTAGAGGGAGTAGCGGTATACTTGCTCCCTCCCTCTGCCTTCGTGAATACTATGACCTAAGGCTCTGACACTTCGGATAATGTGATAACATCACTTTTTTTTTTTTTTCCACTGCAGTAAAACATCACTGCTCTTTCATTTTCATTTTTATTTCTTTTTGAGGGTCTTGCTGTGTATTTCTGGCTGGCCCTGAAGTCACTATGTAGCCCAGGCTGGTCTTGAATTTAGGGTGATCTTCCTGCCTCAGCTTCCCCAATGCTGGGATTACAGGCATGTACCACCGTCTGGTTTATATTTTTAATAGATAGTATATTCTTTTGAGGTTGCCTGTTAGAAGTATTTTACACCTAGACTGAATTTGACTTTTGACTAGCTAACAGTATCACAGCCGTCTGCTTCTGAGTTTTCCTGTGACTTCCTCCAGTAGCTGGTCCTATGCAGTTGCCTGACTGGCTTCCTGTTCTCAGCTTGTGAGGTTTGGATGCTGTGGTATGGTAGTGTCCTATAGAGGCCAAGCTGATGGCTTTGTTCTCTGCACCTCTGAGCGTACCATCTCCAGAACTACACCCCTGCAGAACTGGTGCCTCCCAGCCCAGGCTGCTCACCCTCACACTTGGGTGCAGACTTTCCTTCTTCCTCCACCTCCCCTCCTTTCAGGTGATTTTCTGGGTGAGTTTGGGCACTGCAGGGCCGTGTGCCAGGTCCAGGCTTTTCCCAGCCTGGTACATCCATGGACCCATTTTCCACCCTCTTTATATACCTGCTCCCCCACTTTGCTACCAGCCTCATCCCCCCCCCTTGCTGCTAACTCCTCCCCCTCCCCCCTGTTCCCCTCCTTTTGGGGTGTCCTTTCCTCCCCTGAGGATCTCCTGCTTGGCCTCAGCTCAGGTGACCACACTTCAGGGAGACCCACCCAAACTGCTGTGCCCTTTGCTTTACTTTCTCATAAAGGGCCTTGCGCTTTAGTTCTTAATCGGCTGTGTAGTTGGTATGTGCTCACTCTGTCTTTAGTTTCTTAGTAGCTTCAGAAACTGGAGCCCTGTATCTCTGTGCATCCAGTTAAACCCCGAAGCACTCCTGCTAAATCCAGTATTAAGTGATAGATTTTAAGAAGTGGGGTGAGAGTTCTCTGTACCTCATTCCTGTATCCTCCCCCCAGCAGGCCTCTGCACCTTTCTTTGTTCCTTCTCTTTACACCTTAGCTTCACCCCTCTGTTCCAGGTATCCCTTCCTGCGTGAAGCCTTTCCCACTGCCATCTCCCTAGGGAAGGTATCCCAGATGTTGCTTTGTCATCAGTCTCCATTAAGTAGTGGTGTACAGGGACTTGGGTATGTGATTGGTATCAGATTCCCGGCCATAGAGCAGGCACTTAGTGTGCAGCTGTTGGCTTCAGCCTGAGCTTTCTTCCAGTCTAGCTGTGTATGTGCAGACATAAAGAGGATAGGGTTGGTAATGTATAACACACCCTTCATAGGAGAGAGGGCTTCTTTTTAAAAACATTTAGGGCTGGCCAGACAGCTCTGCAGACTAGAGCACAGCAGCCTGGGGCAGGCCCAGCCCCGGGGGTGCAATGAGATAGCTATTGAGACTGGGCAGGGCTGAAAAAAATGGGAGAATCCCTACCAGCCAGATCTAGTAGTGACACACTGTATATTGTATACCCTGAATAATTGTATAATTGTATACCCTGAATACCCTGACCTAAATTCATTTAAAAAAATTAAAAAATCTTTATTTATTTGGTACAGGTTCTTGCTAAACACCTCGGATTTGTAGTGATCCTCCTGCCTCATCCTCCCCAGCTCTGGGATTATAGGTTTGGGCCACTGTGCCCGATTTTTTGGTGGCTTGGACTCTGGCAGGTCAAGTGGTACTGGGGATTGAACCTGGATCTTTGTGCTTGCCAGGCATGTGCTTAGACCCCTGCCCAGGTATCTCCCCAGGAGAGGGCTTTGTGAGTCTTTAAGTTTCACTCAGAACCTAAGAGAAGGGATTACGTGGTGCCAAAGCCAGCCCTGAAGGAGGGGCAGTACGTGGGAGCTAGAGAGCAGCTGTGAGACCCCTTGATCTCCAGGAAGCGTTTGTTCCAGGAGCCCTTGTCCTTGTAGGAATGGGCTTTTTCCCAGGATTTGTGAGGTGGCTGCCACCCCCATCCCCCAGGCGGCTCTGCAAACAGACCCTTCCAAGCTGCTCAGAGGAGCCGGGAGCTGGCTTGGTTTAAGTAGTCGGGTTTCACAACCTCCTCCATTATTCTTGGGGCAATTACTAGACTGATACTATCTTGAACACAGCTCAGTGTTTTAGAAATGAGTTATGGGCACACTTCCTCAACCAACAGAAAAGAAAATCTCTTAGGGCCCTTGCCAGGTAAAGTTACTCTTTGAATAAATACTGCTCGCTTGCTCAAAGAAGCAACAATTTGTCAAATTTCCAGAGGGGCTGGCCCCCTCATGTCCACTGGCTCTTGATAGCAGAATGTTTTTGTTTGTGATGTGTAACTGTAATTGTATCAGTCACTTGCCTTGAGATTCCTGGCTTCTCCCAGCTTGTCTTCTGAGAGCCTTGTCTTGTTGAGAAGCCTATTTATGGAACAAGAACTTAGGCATCCACTCCCACGGATTTTTAGTGGGTGGCTTTTCCTGCATGGGTAGGGATGAAGGGACATTTTTTTGCCTCCTTACCTAACATGGGGTGTACCTTCTCTGGTTTGTTACTCCTGAAGTACAATTTCTATGACTCCCCAAAGGCTGAGCCAAGCTTTCAGCAGTTCAGGAAGACAGAATGCTGGCATCATCTCTACAGTGAAGTGCAAGCTTCCCATTTAAGGCAAATATTTCATCTCAAAAGGTGGGAAGGAGTAGGGTAGTACTTGGAAAAAAGAAGTTCCAGCTGGTTAAAATTTAGGTTTCCTGATAAAAGTCCAGTCCAAGAGTTGTGCTTGGCTGTGGGCCCAGGCGTGTTTATTTGATTCTGCGTTGGATGCATTTTCATTCACTTGCAGCAGCACCGCTTGGTTCCTGGTCCTGCGTCTGCCCTGCCTGCTCTGTGGCCATACCGTCCATCTCTCAGGTGCTCAGCGTGCCTTGCAGAGTTCTCAGCTAAAAATTGTTCAGCTCTGTGTTGAGTGCTACATTTTTCAGAGATCTTTTTATTTTGCCTACTTAATTTGGACCTTTATTGGCCTTTGTCCATCTTTCTTGGGGAGCCTTCTCTCTCCCCACCTTCTTCTATCTACCCTTCCCCAAATCCCTGCAATATCTGGGGCATTTCCTTTTTTTTTTTGAGGCAGGGTCACTATGTAGTTCAGACTGGCCTTGAGCTCACTGTTGTAGCCCAGGCTGGCGGGGAAGTCAGGCAGCCCTTCCTCAGCCTTCCAAGTGCTGGGACTGCAGGCGTGCACTACCACACCTTGCTTGTGCTACTTAGAATTCTGGGATACAACTGCATGAATGAGATCGAGTGCTGCTTATTGTATGTTTTCTTTCCAAAGTGATAGGAGTTTTCAGCATCAGCATTGCCTCAGGAGCTTGCTGAGATACAAATTCAAGGGTGGTAGGATCAGCATGAGAACGAGGCAGAGCCCAGGAATTGGCATTTTAAGCAGCTTCTTGGAGTATTCTGGTGCTGTCTCCGTGATGGACTTGTTACTTTAGCAGACAGGGCTTTCTAAACAGAAGAGGGAGAGAAGATAGATTTGAGCCATTTAAAGTGCTTTAGGGTTTGGTAGAGAGTTCAGCTTTGATAGGGCCCTGACCAATAGAAGGGGTCAGACTGGCCAGGTGGGAGGACTAGGACCCTGGCTTGGGTGGGAGGGCCTGGGGTGGGCAAGGAGGCCTGGAGTGAGGGGCTCCACACTTTCCCCCATTCCTTCCCAGGCTGTCAGGCTTGTCTGGAATACTGTCTCTGGCAACCATAGAGCAGAGTTCAAACCTTGTCACAACAGTTTCCCTACAAAGGAAATAGC